TCAAAATAAGCTTTGCTATCCCCCGAAGTCAACCCATGTACAACCATACTAAATACAAGGGGAAGGTATATTTTTCCGGCAAACCCATGTAGCAAGTAATTTTCCAATTACATTACATCTCTTCCTATCATTATAACATTTCTTACAAATATTAAGTATCAATACACTAATTTATAAATATAAAACAACACCATAGTTGTAAAAAGTAAAAAATTTAGATTACCTTACATTTATCTATTGCTCTGGTTGAGAACCTGGATAATAATACCAAAAATTTGCTTATATTGATTTTTATATCAGAATCTACTCCTATCAACTCAGTATAAATTAAAACATTTATTGTTAACTTATTCACAACATAAATTCTACTTACTATACCATACTAACATCTATTAAAAAATAGATAGTAAGTGGCTTTTATATGACCTTGTTCTTTATTGTTATAAATTTTTGCCTTCAAATCAGCCAATATATCACCAGCTAATTATACCTTATCTGATGTATTCATGCAATATTTTTTCCACAATTTCCGAACTTATTCTAAGCACGATCTTTGATGATAAACTCTTTTAATTTTAGTATGGCTTACAATCTAATAATACTAGAGGCACCACTGCCATTAATATATTCTACTACTTTGCACCATTTAATTTCTAAAACCCATGAACAACAGTATAATTTTTTACATTCATGAATCCTATTTTAAAATTTTTTTTTTTATATATTTTTTGCAAGGTTTGATAAAAGATCTGAGAGTTATATTATATTGCTTAACTTAATATCCCCTTTTTTAATACCATATTTACCAGATTCTATTCTAACAGGTATCATCTTTATCTTGATACAAATGCTTTTCATTACCAAAGTTAATCTCAGTTAAATTAACTCTATCATGACAATCAAATATTTTCATTGATTCAACTTTTTTCAAAAATTTTTTTTTTAAATATTAAAGACCTAAAAAAAAACTTCATCAAATTGTGGTTATCCTTTTTAGACTAATTTACAATCTTAATCCATAAAATTAAATAAGATTGACATCGAATCGAATGCTAAAATCGAATATTAATATTGAAATAATGATTATAAAAAGATATTATTTTAAATAATTGGATTGAATAGTTAATAAAAATAATTATGATTATTATATTAATGATGTGTTATAATAATCTCAATTGATTGCTCCTTTTTGTAAAAATAACCTTAATATCGATTAGTCAATATTTGATTCAGATAATTTGCAATTATGAGCGAATATTAAAGAATTTCTTGAAAAGGATTTACAACATGAGAAATATAGTTCTTCATTTTAGCCTTCCAATTTTTCTATTTGTGATTAATTTTGCCTTTATTTTTAATTTTGCTTTTAGATCTTATTTTTTGAATCTATTCTATATAAATTTACTGAACCATCCTTAATACCTCCAACAAATGCTTTACCATAAGGGAAAAATGCAAACACAAGTGGTTCATCATTCTAATTAGAAATCCAGCTCAAACAATATTCTTTATCTATGTCCCATAATCTTATAGATGAATCAGGTTCACCGCTTATCAATTTATCTCCAAAGGGTGATATAGCTATCGCACATATTTCATTATTAAAATTTTACAATTGTTTTGTCTTTAAAATCATTTCATTCTCAAATTATAAGCAAACTACTTTTGTTGTACAATTCAAAGCTAAAAAATTTTTTTTTAAAGAAAATACTAATTCTTTCGTTTTTTTTTCTTCGAAAATTAATTCTATTTATTAATATGTTTCAGAATTATATAACTTTAGCTATCCCTAGATGATGATAGCGAAATACTTGCCATCAGAAGAATATTAAAACCCATGCACTTCTTAATATTTAAAGTCAATGGCAAATAATTATTTGCAATCTTCTTAAATATTGATTAATTATAAATTTTAATTATAATTAAAAATAAGGAACTTGTTATCTTGAGAAATTAAAACTTTTTAATTTTCAAAACAATTATTTTTATAAATTTTTTCTAGATAAATTTTTTTAACATCTTTAATGTTCCATAATTTTATAGTCGAACTAATATGATTTTTTAAAGCTAAATAAGTTAAGTCTTTAGAGATTGATATAGATGTTATATAAGTAAGATGTTCAATACAATTTATTTCTTTAATCTGATTAAGATTTGATATTTCTAAAACATAAAATAGATTTTCAAAACCTAAAATTAATTAATTGTTTCCCAAAAATAAAATTGTAGATCCAAACCAATTTTTATCCCGTGATAATTCTTTTTAATTATTGGCATCAAAAAAACATAAAGATGATTTAGTCACTACCGCAATATATTAGAAATCAAAAGTGAAACAAAAATCATTAATATTTGATTCAACTAATATTTTTTATTATCTTTCAATCAAATTAGCTACCAATAATTCAGCAGAATCATTATTGATCAAACAAATTTATAAATTTTCAGGAGAAAAAGAGAAATGATTTATTTTATATGGCAATTAAAATTATCTAATGATTTTTAATTTTTAATCTTATTGTATTTTAATTAAAAAAATTAGAGTTTGTTCACAACAAATTATTTGATTATCTAAAGAAAATGCTAAATAAAGGATCTCTTTTCCAGTGAAACATTCAAATTCATCACATTTTTTTTAATCAAAAATATTCCACAAATATATCCAATTATAATTAGTTGAAACCATAAAAAATTTATCATCCTATGAAAAAGCGTGACATTAAATTGTTTCATTCATTAGAAGTGAAGTTTCTGAATTATTCTATTTCTTATAATTTGTGCTTATAAAATGCAAATTTGAATCCTTTGTAATTGCCACAAGATAATTTAAGTTGCTTGATATATAAAACATATCCCAAATTGATGATTCATGTTAGAAAAAAATTTCTTCTTGAGTATTTTAAGAAATATTTAGAATTTTAATAATTACTTCGTTTTTTGTATTTTGTGTTACGTACAATAAATTTGAATCATTTTATTTAAATTGGAAAGAAACAGGATTCGGAAGAAGATGAAATTATTAGAGAGAACACTTCAAATCTGATATGCTATATATATCAATTGCGGATCCTAAATTTGTCTATGCTGCTAAATATTAGGATCCTAAATCCTTCTTTGCGGCTAAATATTAGCCATCATTTGATAAATTATTTACTCAACAAACTAGAAATCATCATATTATTTATATATTTCTCCCTATTTTAGATCAATTATCAATAGTTTACAATTAACATTTTCAATACTTTAAATCAATAATTTAGAGCCATCTTAAGATTAAATCAATCTTTTAATTGTACCAGTTTTTAAATTATATTTAACTATGTTTTCAATTTATTTAAGTTCTTCTACTTATGTTAAAGTTATTGAATTTTCATTTTAAGATGCAATTATAGTATTTTATGGCGAAAATATTACTTTTTAAATAGCAGGTTCAAATAGTGATATAGATTATTTTTACCATTTATTATTATTATATTTCCATAAAAACATATTTTATTATACATCTATTGAAACAATTTTAGTATTATCATTTGAGCTATCAATTAAAATTATTTTATTTTTGTGTCCATTCAATAAATCATACTAGCCAGTTGATAATCTATATGTTTAAATATTATTTTCAAGCCCTTAAATAATGAATTCGTCATTTTGAGTAAAACAAGTTAATGAAACTTTCTCTCTATATGGTTTTATATAAATGTTTTAAATTCCAATATTATTTAAGTTCCAAAATTAAATTTTATTTTCTGGAATATTATGCTCAACAGAAGTTGATGTAGTTGCAAATGTCATACCATTTGGTGAAAATTATACCTATCTTATTGAACTAAATATTTCTTTAACAACATGTAATACTTTTGTATCAATTAGATTTCTTACATCCCACAATATAATTGTACCATCTTCACTTCCAGATACAAGCCACTTTGAACAATATGAAAAATCCAAACAATTAACATTACTATTATGTCCTTCTAATGTTATTATATATTATATATCTAGTAAATCCCAAAGTATTATATAAAATTCTTAACTTCCAGAAGCTAATATTAAACTATCCTTTGATATTGCTAATTAATTTACACTTTTTAAATGTCCTTACTATAAGTCTAATTAAGAATTAGCTTCAATATTCCATAATTTTATTAATTTATCATCGCTAGAAGAAGCAAGTATTAAACCATCTGATGAGAAACTAAGTGAATTTATCAAACCTTGATGTCCTTCAAATATTCCAATATTTCTCTTTGCTTCAATATTCCATTAATAGATCTTGTTATCTTTTCCACAAGAAAACAATAAATTCAATTTAGGATGATATGCTAAATGTGTACTTTCGTAAGGATTATCAATTTTTATTGATTATTATAATTCTTAATCCAAATTTATTAAATAAATAAAATCTTTATCAGCAATGCAGATTTAGTTGTTACTTATTATAGCCATACAACTTATTTCTTAAGATAATTTTATGTTATCACTAAAAGACAATTCTTTTATATCAAATTTTTTCAAATAATTTTCTTTTATTACAAATAAATATTTATCATCTAGAGATATTGCAATCTATTAAATGTTATTGCAGCTAATTTCAGCGATTTATTGTCTTTCAATCAAATTAATTATCAAAAGATCACCTGAATTTAGCAATACTGATAGAAAAGAGTTACTCTATGAAATTTTTGTGAGTTTAACTTCATTGGAAAAATTCCTAATCCAATCGATTTTTAATTCAAATTTTTTATTAAGTAAATAAAGGGTTATTTATTTATCAACCACATCAATTAACATATCTCCATTTTTATTAAAAAAAAATTGTTATGTCGAAGAACATGATGATGGCTGGTACCAGGTTATTTTTCTCTCCTAAAGTTAAATTATCTAAATGTTAGAGAAACTTTTTATTGCTAGTAGCTTCTAGTTAGGGGTAATAGCTATCTCTTCGAACTAAAAAAATCTTAAAATATCTTTAATAGGAAACTCTTTTAATTTCATAAATATATCTTCATTATGTAAAGATAATATTATGAGATTGTTATTCTCATCACAAATAAAACATTATTAATTTTATTCAAATATTTCTAATTTTTTAATATTATCTTTATGTTAATAAAATCTTATATCTTATTATTCTTTCAATTATTTGATTATAAATTTACTAGAGGTGGGATTAAAGGAAAATTAATCTTTTTTATGTGAGATTTTTATTTTAAAATCAATATATTTATCAAATTATTTTGAATATAATCCACATAATTTAATATTTGAAATATTTTCTAAATTCCAAAATGATATTTATTCTCCAACTAACACTAAAATTTTATCATTATTTATAAGATATAATTTTTTTGCATTTTTATAAGTCTTAAAAGTAACCATTACTTAACCAGAATGAACATTCCAAATGGTTAAATCTCCATGTGAATTTGAGGAAATGAGTTGATTCTCATCATAAAAAAACATTATACTTTGAATTTCAGAAACTCCAACTAAAGTTTTATAGAATTTCCATCCTTAAACCAAAAATATATGGATATTGCAAGATTAAATAATTGCCAAAAGCTAATAATTTTGAGAAAAGGAGCTCAGTTATGATTTTGATTATTATTGATGCAACTGTATTATCTTTTCCGAATTTAACAATTATTGAGGAAGGATGCTAATTTGTGTCTCCAATAAATAAATTAAATTATTAGAATTACCAATGAAATTCAATCTACGAATTTCAGATTAAAATTTTTCACATCCTATCATTTCAATTTCTACTTTTGAACAATCCCATAAACAGATCATCTCTTTCTCAGTCCAAGCCATAAGATTTCCATTTTTTGAAAAACAAACTTAGGAAATATATTCACTAGCCCAATTTATTTAATATTCTACATTTCCTTCAATTGCATTCCAAAAAATTACTTTGGCTCCTTGACTAAAAGAAATTAATCTCATTTTGTTATGAATGTACTTGATTAGATTTACATCACGAGCTTCTTCTTTTAATAAGTTTTCTTCTTTCATTAAGGATAAATTCCAAATTATTATTTTATCATTTTATTTATTATCTATTAATGCAATATATTAATTGTTTATTGATATAGTTATCTCTTTTTCTATCCTATATTTTTCATCTATCTTATATTTTAGATTACCATCAAATGAATTCCAAATATATATAGATGAAGTTGAATCTAAAATGATCAACAATGATCCATCATAAGAATATTTAAAATCCTTCAATTCATATTATGAATAAGAAGAAACTAATTCTAACATTGAATATGGTTAATTGTCTAAATTCCATAAAATGATTTTTTTACTATCATGAGCTGATGCTAAAATATTTACTGAAGGAGAAAAAACAAAACTTTTGATTGAATCTTTGCTTAATTTTAAAACATCCAATTCTTCTTTATAATTAATATTAAAAAGAATTATTTCCTCATGGTATATTTGATAAGCTAAAATTTCATTATTTAAATTTATTTTAAAATCTTATATATAAATTTAGTTTAATATTAACTTCGATTTTAATTTATATGTCTAAGCAATCCTTTAAATTTTAAAAATTCTTGTTTCCATGTTATTATAATGAACACCATATTCAAAATTCTAAGACAACTAAAATCTATCCTAACTAACCTTATAGTCTTCTAAACTAACCATTTATTGTAATGTTTGCAAACTCCATATTATTAATTTATTTTATCCTTATGTAGATAGTTATAAAGAATCACTTGATATTGATATTGATTCGACTGTAAACTCACATTAAAAGCTATTTATAATTTGTAATGTATTTAGATCTAGAATAGCTATGTAATTATCTTATCCTAAAATGCAAATGTCATCAAACTATGAAAGATAAACTACTGAACATTAATTAATTGAAATTTCTTCAAAGGGTTTTAATTATTCTAATTCGATTAAAGCTAAACTATTATAACTATTTGCAATTATTGATTTATCACTTTAAATAAAAGCTAACTGGTTAATTTTAAATGAATTATATAAAAGCACTTGAATTAACTTAAAGGAACACAAATCCCATACTAATAAGTTAAAATTTGAACATGCAGAAGCTAAAATGTTTCCTTCAGGACTCAATGCTAATGCTTCTATATTTCCTATATGGCCAATTAACTTTTATTCCTTTTTTGTCATAAGATTGATTATTAAAATAGTTGCATCATTTTTACCAATAGCAATTAATGATTCATCTTAAGAGTAAGTAAATATTTTGGTAGCATCATTTTCTCCTTGTATAGTTCTGGTATCCTAATTTAAATAAAGATTTGGCATGTTCCATAAATTAAAATTATTATTGCTTCTAGAAATCAACATGTTATCATCTTTAGAAAGCACAATTTGCTTAATGGAGATATTATTTTAGATTGTTACTTTTAGTTATGGCTATTAGGGATTACTGAGATCCCATAACTTGATTGTGCCATCATCACTGCAAGAAATAAGTCTAGTAATATCAGAAGTAAATTAGACAGAATTAATATAATTATTATGACCTATTAATTATGCCACTTAAGTATGATTATCAACATCCCAAAGCTTTAATTTATATTCTCTATCACCAGAAACAATCAAATTACCTTTAGGTGAAAATAATGCAATTTAAACTTCTGATTGATGTCCCTGCAAACAAGGTTTTTCTTTACAAATTATTTCTTTCCAATTTACTTCAGTAAGATTAACACAATTAAAATTGCACGAATTAATTTTTACTTTCTCAAACTTTGAATTACTTAAATTACTATTATAGAAACTTAATCCTGAAATATTGGTGTCTGATAATTAAATTGAACTTAAGTCTTATGATTCTAACTAAGCATTTAATTAATTTAATAAATAAATGCTATTTGATGCAGCATATTTATATTTCTCATCTCTTGAAAGTGTAACTATGTTAATTAATGTATTTTTTATTCCATCTATATTTTATAATTTGTCTTTAACAAAATTTGATATTCCCATATAACTTTCTTTTGAAATGTTTAATTTAATTTGATTGTATAAAGAACCAATTAAAATTTAGTTCTCTTTTTCAATTCTTTTTAAGGATTCAAATGAAATTTCACAATCAAAAAAGAGAAGTAAATCCAAAATATACTTTGCAACATAAAATTCTTAAATTGATTTATGATTAAATGAATAAGTACTCCCTTTAGCACTTACAAGAATGCAACTTCTTATTACTGCATTGTAATCCTTATTATCTAAAGTATCACTAAAATATTAATTTGGCCAAATATCATCAATAACATTTTTAAAACTATTATATTTACTTACTAATTCTAATTTTCCTTTTTATTTATATTTTACTTAAGATAAATCTCGAATAGTCATATCTAAAGCTAAAGATTGTGAAAATTAGTAGACATCTGACTCAAAACTTTCATTAATTGGAAAATTACCTTTTTCCCTCTACTTTTGAATTTATTAAGAATGATAGAATTTTATGAAACTTTCATAAAATTCAAAAATAGTAAATTTTTACATTTTTAATGCTTAGATAATATTATCAACTTCATTAATATCAAAATCAAATTAAATGTTATCTACATAGATTGAATTATTTTTCGAAATTAAAACGCTTGTAATTAAATAAAATGAAAAAAAATTTCTCTTATCCAACTAATCAATAACTTCTTTCAGCTTCTGTTTATCTTTTTCAGAATTATCTTATTTATTTTTTTCATAATCTTTTTATTTCAACTTTTAATCATTATCTAACTATGAATAACTTTGATTATTTTCCTTTTAATTTAAAAAATCTTAATTCTAAACATCTATAAGTCTTAATTGCTCTGATAATTTCTATTTTTTAATTATTTTTATATAGTTTTAAATAAATAGATTTCTTATTTCTATTGATCCTTTATATTATTTTGTCATATTTGGTAAAACCTACACCACTATTTCTAACATGAAGGGTGTAGTTAAAAGATCTTAAATACCAACATTTTTTATAGCCTTCTCAAATTTTTTTACGCTCCATAATGGTTGTAAATCCTTTCTTAAGGAAATTATATGTTCTTCCTTTAAATATTTTAAAGCTTTATGAGATGTAACTTATTGCAGTAAATTTTCTAATTCTTATTTTCTAAAAATCACTTCATCTGTATCTCTGCTATCTTCTGATGCACATTTTACTTATTTCTCAATTAGCTGCCAAATTTCCTAAAACTCTTAAAGTTCAAAAGTTGAATTTTACACTTACTTTACAAACTCATAGATTTATTTTATCTTTCTCCTAACGCTTAATTCAACATATTTTCTTAAATACTCTTATATTTGATCTTAGTCAAAATTTTATAATTAAACTTCTTTCAAACTTTCAAGACTCTCCCCATAAAACCATGTTTAATATCCTATAACAGTAAATATCTCTTTTCTAGTAGTAATGATTACTTTAAGTTATCTTTATAATTTATCGATATTTAGATCTTAATTAAATTTATTAGTTAATATTAAATTTTATTAAATACAATCCTATTTCATCTCATCATAACTATCCAAGATCATTAAAATGAATTCTTTTTTATTTTATATTGCTTCCTTAAACTCTTCTATTTAATGTTTATCAAATCCATAATTATCGGATTCTAATGCTTATTCGAATAAATTATATTTTGGATTTTTTAAATTTGGAAGAGATACATAAATTGGTATCCATTTTGATGATTTGCCATGTAAACTCCAAACAAATTCTTCAATCTTTCTAGCTGCTCTACTCTTACCAGATCCAGCATTACCTGATAATAACATCACATCCTTCTTTTCCTCTCTCCAAATAAATTCATTTACTTCTCCATCAAAATTATTCTAAACGTCATCTAGTAATTATGATATTTATTGACCTTTTTACGTTTTTTTAATTTCACCACTTATTGGATCAAATTCTATTGTTTTTACTGATACATAAATAGAATCTATTTCTAATATCTTGGATTATTATAGAATCTTTTATTTTCTTATTTCCAATAATTCATCATATTTCTTACCTCTTAACTTTCTTATATCATCCCCTATCTAATTTAAACTTTTTTGTAAATTTTCCATTTAAGTCTTTATTTATTTTACATCCTTTTATATATCCTTGAGAAATAACAAACTCATCTCCATCTTTTAAGACATTTCAGACAAATTGTCTACGTATTAATCAAGTTCTTCATACGCGATTTCTATTTTTTTTTAGAGCTTTTCCCTAATTGTTAAATTTCCTTCTAATCTAATTTCTTATTACAAATTTTCAAGATTATTTATTCTTTACTTCATCTCTTATTTAATCTAATCTGCTGAAGATTGTAAATTTGAAGAAAATAACTATTTTTGCATTTCTATCAATTCCTTATTTTTTAATATATTTCCTACTCTTTAATCTTTTTCAAATATCCATAAATATTAAAGAAATTTGGATGAAAATTAAGTAATACAATCTTCTTAAACACTTTGTTAAAGTCGAATTAAATTAAATGCTAAAAATTCTTTCACCTTATATGGAGTTTTAAAATCTAAAATTCCTAACATCGATATTTTTATTTCTATTTATTATTATTCTAAATCCTTTAAAATAGTTAAATAAATTTCATCTACAGTTTAAGATTTACAATTCTCATGGGAAGATTAAATATCTGAAAGCGCAATAAAATTTTCCAAAGTAAATGAAATCTCTTCTTGGCCCTAAACTTCCAAACCTTAATTATTTCCATTTATAACCTTAAGTTTTGTTATAAGATCTTCTTCATTAAAATTTATTAACATTTTATTACACTTTACTTTTAACTTTGCTATCTAAGTATTTAAATCTATATTTTTTTCTTTTAAATTTAATATCATATCTAACCCAATTTATATCATTGATTTGTAAGATTTTAAATGTATATAAGCACCTTAAATAATTTCTAAATTAGAATTAATCTTTTCCTAATAAAAATCAAAAAAATTTGAAAATGTATTATTAGATTTATTGTGATCAGTCTATTACAATACTGTTTTACCTGTATCTAATTTCTTCCTATATTCTATCTCATTGGAATTAATAAAATCATCATATTTTTTAATTAATTTCGTTAAGCATTACTTTTAATTAGCTTAATTCAAAATGCTTATTAAGTTAAATTATGCTTTTGATATTAAATTTAAAGCGCACTAATATATTTCAATAGTTTAATTATTAATACATTAATCATCCTTCTATATTTTTATATAATCATTCTTAATCATTTTGAGAATCTCTTTAATTTTTATATCAAAATTTTATGCTTCTTCTTCTGTTTCTTCATTTTTAATTGAATTTTGAATTTTTTCTTTTTCTTATTTCATTAGATTTATTAAATTTTGTATGAAATTTTAATCCAATTACCCAAATTATTATTTTAATGGTTTTTACTCCAAATTTAATTTCTCTTTAAAGATTTATTGTCTGTATAATTAGGCTTGCAATATTTATTTTAAAGTCTTTGCAATCATTGTTTCTCTTTTACAATCTATCAACTTTTATTTTACATCTGATATAGATTCAATTTGCTATTTATTTACAACTTTAAATTCCTTAAATATTTACAAAAAAGAATTTGTAGTGATTTCTATTAATTTTTAAATCCAACTTATAGAACGAGTTGAGATCAAAAATTCAAATATCTCCTATCGTTTAAATTAAATCATATTGCTAATCTAATTCATCTCTGAGATTTATTTGAGAAATTCATTTGTAAAATTTCTTATATTTTTTATAAATTAATCAAATTACTTTTAAAAACCTTTAAATAGATCATGCAAGTTTTAGATATTAAATAATTAACAATTCTAATGTAGATTCTTCTATTCTATTTGTTTAAAATTTAGACTAGTTATTGAAATTTAACTAACATATTCAATAGCATTTATGTATTCTTTAAAAAATGACACTTAAAAATTTTCAAGCTGTGATTTGAATGTATCTTGAATTTACTTCAGAATCTATATCAATTGACATTTTGGTTCTTCTTTTATAAAATTAAAGTAAGGAATAAGTAAATTAAATTTGTATTATTCAAAAAACATGAATTCCTAAATGATTCTAATTTAATAAATTGCTTTTTTATATGAATTGATAAATTGTTTTATAAGAACTTATAATTCATCTTAATATAATTTGTTTGAAAGTTCTGTTTGCTTCGATTATAAAAATTCATCACTTAATAATTCTTAAATTTATAATTAAATAGCACAGAGTTCATCCTTTGACTATTTCAAATACTCATATGACCTTTCTAAAATATTTAATTCATTGTTAACTAATAGAATTTCATAATCCTTCTTTTGAATTTATTTGTTTTTCTAAAATGAGAAATTCTTATAGAAATCCCATATATTAATATTTTATGCTAACTCTCCAGTTAAAAGACAAGATTAAAATAATTCCAATTTTATTTTGCCTTGAGCTTCTAACAAATTTACTATTTCCAAATCAAACTTCTTTATTATTATTTTACAAATAAAACAATTTAGGCTTAATTTGGATTATAAGAAACACAATGAATTAATCCAGCTTCAATTAAATCATTCCATTTTTAATATTATTCAATAGGATTTGTGCTTATTAATTATTTATTAATAATTGGTCTGTAAGCTAAAATATCGGCAATCATCATAATCCAACATGAATGCAAAATCCAATTATCTGATAATAAAATATATTCTTAAAATGTATCTTTTATTTGTTTTATTTATTTATAAACAGAATATTTAGATTTTAACTGTTTTATTATTGACCATTTAATGATTTAAAATAAATAATAAGTTGCATAAACTTCTAAAGGATACAAAAATTTATTTTTGAATTTAAGAAGTAAAAATTTCGCTCCATTAATTAAACTTGGTATCAAATTATCAGTTGCTGACATTGAAATAATAGATTAACCAATATTTTTTACAATATTAATCAGTATTTCTTTCCCCTCCTATGAATTAGTGTTAGCGTTAATTAGCATTATTTTGATTAGATTTAATTCAAACTCAATTCCACATTTCCAAACATTTGCTTTTTCAATTTCTAATTAAGTTTTGAATTCTTCAAGATCATTTAAGTATTCTTATTATTTTTCCACTTCAAAATTTCTATCACGATTTAGCATTGAAGTTATAAATCCGCATTTATCATTTTTTAGCTAAAATGAATAGATTATGCGAGCTAATTCATTGCAAATTTATAACGCTTGATAACAGAGATACCAATTAGTCCTCAAATAAATTGGAAGGATTTTTAATAGTTTTTCAAAATTGTTTAGTACTAAATTATAAATAGATATTGTTAATTTATTAGAAATACAACAAGTATTTAAATGTTCCCGATTATTAAAAATCCATTGAATTGCCATTAAGACTTCAACCTTCTATCCTTAATCTAATATTAAAGAGGCCTTCTTAATTATTTTATCAACATTGTCATTAAGATTTTTCAAAAAATCAGAAGGAATTTCACTCTCTGGCATTGTTATTTCATTGATATTTTTCCCTTTTTATTTGGATTATCCACATCCTCCACCTCTAAGCTAATTATTTGAAGTTCTACTATTCTCCTTAAAGGGAATAAAAGTTAAATCTTTTTTTCTTAACATTACAAATCTTTTAATTAAAATAATTAATGAAAAAATATTTCAATTATTTTTAGTTATAAATTTAAAAATTATTTTAATTTATAGTTACTTTAAATCCTAAATAATTTGAATAAAATCTTATCAAAGAATATCTATATTTATTTTTCTTTATCCTCTATTCATTAATGATATATTTATTCATTTGAATATTCATTTTAAATAGTCTAATTACAATTATTTTATTTATTTGTTGTGTCATGCTTTTTTTTTTATGTTTAAGTTGTATTCAATCATTATTTAACCCTGAAAAAAAGTCGAATACTGTAAAATGATCAGAATGTTTGAGTTTAAATTTTATTACTCATCTAAAAATTATATCCAACCTCTTATTATTTTCCAAAGTACAAAAATATTTTTTCATAAGAATAAACTAATAATTTACGAGCAATTTTCAAATTATAATCAAACTTAGACCATGCCATTTTTTTTTGTAATATTTTTTTCCTTGATTATTGACTAAAGTTTTTTTTCAACTTATTCATATAACTTTCTATCATATGGAAATATTGTAGTACTCTCCATCTTAAAAAAAAGCTTGAGTCAGCAAATTCTCTATGAATGATTATTTATTTATGATATATTGAAATTTTGGTTCAGGTCCTAAATTGTTTGATCTTATTTTATTTAGTAATACAATCTTAGAAGTAGCGCTAAACCTATTTTCAAAATAATCTTAAAACTCAAGATGTTTAAAAAACTAATTAATATGTTGACATCATAAAAAATTAGAAACAAAATAATCAATTGAATGATAGCTATAGATTGAAATTAAAATAAGAATAATAAGATGATAGGATCAAGAATAATAATGATTTCTACTCAACAATATTTTAAATAATCAGCTATAGAACAGTTAGGAGGGAAAATTTTTATTAAATTTTTCTTTCACTAAAATGATAATCTTAAATCTTTATTTTATTTGTATAGAAAAGGTATCAAACATTATTTTTTATTAATTATCAATACTATACAACTATTAGATATTATTCACACAAATCGATGATGAAACAACATAATTTAAATGATAAATTTATTAAAAATAATAAAACATAAAACAGAAAAACCCTTAAAATTAATTTAAAGAACAAGAATCAACTTTATATAACAGCGCAAGATTTAAATTATTCATTCAGTAATAAATTTTGCCCTTTTTCAAACAGAAATATGATAGAGAAAATTTTTGATATTAACTTAGAGTTGATTACAGTAATAAATCTGTAAATTTATTTTTTGAAAAAATTCTAAAAGAAGTTTTAAATTATATCTATAAAACATATGCACAATAAGATTTGAAAAGGATAAACTTATATTTCCTTGTTTTGAAAAATTAAGTATACAAAAAAAAGGTCTAATTAATCTTTTAAGGCTTTAATGAATATACTTATATTATTTGAAAGCTTATGAACTAATGATCAATTATTGTTAATTATTTTTATAGGAAATGTTCATTATAAACACTCTATATTGTCTGATTTTCAAATATTTTATGAGTTTTAAAACGAAAATAATTTTTATTTTAAAAAAACTAAAATATTTGAATTATATATTTTAAATTGATTGATTTCACAGTAAGAAAAACATAATTAATATTTCTAATCATTATTATAGTGAAAATAAAAGCCAAATTACATGATTTCATATTTAGACTAATCGCTTAATAATAAAATCAATTAATAAATTTAAATTGGGTGAGAATAATAAAAAGTAGAATTACTATTTAGATTTATTATTTATTGGATTAAAAATTTAATGTATTTATCGAAAATTCTTCCCGATGGCTTATGTTTAATTAACTAATGATAATTGTTAATTGATATTATTTAACAATTTGGACATGTACAATGACATGAGTTTCTGCTGAAGTTTTATTTGAATAACGAAGAGGCTTTCTGGTACTTTCAATTGCAATGTTTGTATTAAATAATTAATACACCACCCTCCCCTTTTGCTACTTAAACTATCAAAAATGGAATTTGAATCTTTATTTTTCTGTTGAAGAATAGCACACTTTTTTTGAGAATAATTTATTTCAATGTTCTAATTGTTTTCCAGTTTGGAAATTAAAAAGTTAGGATTCTATTGTTAGAGTTGAATGTATGAATATTACAATTATGATCTGTACGATTGTGCTTAGAGCATGCCTTATAATCCCGTTGTAATATTATTTTTTAATTACAAAGAATAAGTTTGAAAATTATAATTTCTTTTTGCTACGAGAATAAACGAAATAAAAATTGCATAATACTAACTTAGATCAATTATATTTACAAACTTCCTAATCTAAGAGATAAGCTTAGATTTTGTAATAACTTTTAAGAATCACTTGTCTTGATTGGTATTCTCGAATATGGCTAATTTAGCATGAGCCAATGATTATGATTAAATAATTCCCCCATTAATGACTAATCATAGAAAAATAAATTATTTTCTTGCATAAGAGTTTTTATAATTATTGAAGTGGATATTAATCCAATTACTTTATAATCTCTAGCTTAGATAGGCCAAGCATATTATTAATGATACTTCTAATATCAATAATTTAATAGGTTGAATATTGATGGATATACTTCTAAAGAAACTCTATTTAATTGAAAATCTTAAAGAATGCAATTTTCAAAATAGTCAAAAGAAATTTTAAGATAAAGAGACTCAAAAAAGGTTCTCATTATTAAAGAATTTGATTAAAGTTTTCAGTGATGTATGTAAATAATTAATGAACTAAAATCTTTTTTACTTAGAAATAAAACAATGAATCTGAATAAAAACTTAATAATTAAAGAAATTAATCTGCAACAAAAATTTTATGAGCACCTAATTAGATTCATTGAACAATATTAATAAATATAAATTTTAGAATTGATAAATATGAAATTTGTTTGTGATATAAATTATAAAGAAAAAGTTCTTTCAAATATTTATTTTAATAAAAAATAAAATGTATTAAGAGCTTGAATTGATGTAATTCGAAGTAAAAGAACTAAACTTTCCTGTTTAAGAAAATTCTATACAGTATAGAAAAGCAAAATTATTCTATGGCTATTTTGGAGATCAGGATTGGAAATCGAAATTCGTAACATGTTTATTATAATACAATGATACAACTAAAATAATAAATTACGTCAGAGATGGAGAGATAATAAGAATGTACAATAATTTCAAAAAAAATAGAGAGAAAATAGATAGTTTTTCGTAATCTTTATAAAACGGATTTTATAATTTCTAACAAATTAAAAATTTAAGATGGGAAGGATCATGTATTTAAAATAAAAAAGTTGGAAAATGGAATGCGTTTTGGAAGGGTGAAAATCTAAATATTGGCGGATTATATGATTCTTTTGGGAAAAAGGTGGGTCCTTGGATTGAAATATTTGAAAATTATTGGGAGTAATTTATTTTAATTTCGAAATCTAAGTCTCGCTGAAATTACATACTAGGGAGAATACTTGGAAGGAAAAAGAGTTGGATATTGGAAAACAATATATCAAAATAAAATTATGTAGAAAAGCATTCAATTTATATTTTAAGAGGAGGCGGATAATACAACTAAAAAGGGTAACGTATAGGAAAATGGATTGAATTATATTAATATTTTTCTAAGTAATTTTATTAATTTTAAAGTAGCAAATCAAAAGTCTTTTTTGTTGGTTAATATAAAGTTGGATTTAGAGAAGGATATTGGGAGATCATTTAAGAAGATTAACTGATGTAAAGATTTCATTTAATTTTTAGAGGAGGGGGACTATATAATGAGAAGGGAATGAAGTTAGGACTTTGGATAGAATTACTACATCATTTTAATAAGTAAAAATAAAATATAAATATTAAGAATATTTTATATTGTATAAATTGGTGAGTATTATAAAGAAAATAAATGTGGCAAGTGGAAAATTTTTTTGAAAGATCAAATAATGTATTTAATAAGCTGAGTTATTCTTAGAGGAGGAGGAATATATAATAAATAAGGGGCAAAATAAGGGAAATGGATTGAATTACATGAAAAGTTCCATGAATATTGCTGGGTTACTTTAGTTGGAGAATATGAAAATGGAAAGAAAATTGGATAATGGGATTTCATATATTAAAAAAAAATTATGTATTTTATTTAAATTTTGCATAGCGCTGGGGGAATATATTTATAAAATGGATTAAAAAATGGGAATTGGAGAGAATTAAGTACAAAATTTAATAAGTAAATTTTATTTGAAAAAATATTGAAGTTTTTGTCTTTTATTAAATGAAGGTTGTTATTTAAATGGAAAGAAATTTTAATATTGGAATATTATCTCATACAACTCATATTAAATTTTGTAGTTTATTTTTTAATAATATTTAAGAGGAGGTGGTTCTTACAATTTATAGGGGTATAAAAACGGTAAGTGGATAACTTTTAATAAAAATTATTATGTTGGGTTATTCTCATCAAATTGTATATCTTAAGTAGGGGAATACAAATAAGGAAGAAAACATAATCATTGGGATATAATTAATAATGAAAATGAGAAAATGTTAGTATATTATTATATGATAGTGGAGGTGGAGAATATGATCATAAGGGTATGAAATTTGGTTAATGGACTGAATTGCATCAAAACTTTTGGGAGTGATTATAATATATCTATTGTTTTGTAGTTTTTGTAAAGTGACGTTGAACGGAAATTATTATAATGGACATAAGTTGGGCAATTGGGAAGTAAAATATAAACCATCACAATTTGAAGAAATATAAATCATGTACTTCTATAAGATTTATAATAAATAGAGGTGGAGGAATGTATAATGAAAATTATTAAAAAAATAATAAGTGGATTGAGTTGGATGAAAATTTTTCTAAGTATTAAAATTTTAAATTTAGTCAATGTGAAGTAATTAATTAAGGAAATTATTAGAATGGATTTAAAGTTGGAAAATGGACTTTAAAAGATAAAAATAACTCTATGTAAAAAATTAATTTTAAAGGACAACCAAAAGAGCAGGTGGGTTTTACAATTATAAAGCAATCAAATAAGGAAAATGGATTGAATTATCAAAGTATTATCGAAGGTATTTTCATTATAATATATATCTCAGTTATTTTCCTCTACTATATACCGGAAATTATTTAAATGGATAGAAATCGAATAAATGGGAAATAGTATATTAAAAAAGGATTGTGTAATAACTAATTTTAACATATATAATTTAAGTGGAGGAGGAACATATTAAAACAATAGTATAAAAAGTGGATAATGGATTGAAATCTAAGAGAGTTTTATCAAGTATAGTTTTAAAAAATTCAGTCAATCCCTTCAAATTGAATAAGGAGGCTATAACAATGGAGAAAAATATGGGATTTGGTATATCATGAAAAAAAATAAAATAATGTAACTTATTGATACTTAAAAAGGATGATTCAGAGGTTTCGATTTTTACATAAAGAGTGAGATAAGTTAAAATTGGAATTTAGAATATAAGATTGATCTAGATTCAGATAGAAATTTAAAAGTTCTTAATTTTTTAATGAAATGTAAAATTTACGAATCATATCTTCTAGGGAATTAAAGGAATAATAAATTTAACTAAAATTAAATGATTAATTATTATAATAATAAATGATTTGATAAATCTTAGAAATTTCTTGTATTTAGTTCAGTATAAATTATATTGCCTTAGAATTCTTTAATAAATTAAAAGTAAGAATCCTAATTAAACAAAGATTATTATTTAAATGGATTTGGTTTAATGAATATGAATAATTTGTAGCCTAAATTAACGATTTCATTAATATAATTCTTCTACTTTTTCTTTTTCTAATTTATTGAAAGTTTCTTAATCCTATATCACCAAGTGATCTACATTTTTAAGACATTAATGACAATAAACTCTATTCCAACAAGCTAATGACATTCTCATGCACTTCAATAGAACATTTTATCGAAAATTTTCTTATTATTTTAAAATATTTTATTTTAACTTGTAATTCTATTATTTTGTTTTAATTAATTTCTATCTAATAAAACATTATTATTAATGGAATGAAGAAATTAAGGTCCAAGGAAAATCTAATTACAAAAACCTTCTAAAAATTCTAGTTCGCGCATAAGTAAATATATTTTAGATAATTAATTATGACCTTATTAACAATCAGATTGTATATTAAATCTAATTTTAAAAATTTTGAGTGATGAAATTATCAACAAAATTACCCTCAAGACATTTTTTAAATGATTAAATATTTTTTTAAACTTCAAAATAGAATAATTTTTTTAGTTGGTGTTTATTTACAAATACAAAAACAAAGATTAAGTTTAATATTTACTTCTTATTTCAAATAATAGAAAAAAAATTCAATTGAATTTAAAAAATAATTGAGAATTTAAAGTATCAAATACACCTAATTTTTTATTAGATTTTTCATCATATTTTTCTACTTCATATTCTTATAAATAAAGTTTTTAACCTATTATATCATAAATTCTTATAATATTGTGATGTTTAAATATACTTGATAATTTTGCTAAACAATACGAGTTAAAAGAATTGAGAAAATCCGAAATATTCGTTTATTTTTTACTCATCACTGTATCTTTTGATCCTTTAGATAAATTAGATGAGATTCTTTCAAAGTATAGATCACAACTTTCGTCTTCCTTTTATTATAAATAGAGTTTAGTCATTGTTAATTTGCTCATGAAAAGTTCTTAGTAAGTTATAAAATCGATCTTAAAACTTTTATTAGAATTTAGTTTAAATTTATTTTTGATATCTTTGAATTTGATTAAGTTTATTAGAGAAAATATTAATTTTTTCAAATAATTTATTAAATCTTTTATTTTTTATTATTATAATTTTGTCTCTTTAATAATAGATAATAAGTAAGCACTTCAATTCTCTTTGATATAAATTTTAAATTTCTTACCATTCCTTTCAACAACAGCATAATCATCTTCTTAAATTTAATTAATTTCTTTTTGTTTTCTATTATTGAAGAAAATTAAATAAATTCATCTTAGTTAGTTTTGTTATTGACTAATTGTTATTTTTTTCTCCTTTAATTCTTATTGATACTAAAGTATACTGCTTTAATAATCCACAGATTTAAGTTTGTATTGACTTTGTAAGCTTTATAAATTTGTTAATTCTTCACTCATCAACATTAAAAATAATTCCTTTATCTATATTTTCAAAGGCTTGCAATGTTTTAATCAGTATGTTTGTTGTTTTGGAAGCTAATTAAATCAAATGGCCAATCTCTCTCTAATTTATGTTAGAATATTTGCTTAAATCCTGTATTTTCTCCAATTCAATTCATAAATTTTCAAATTTTTCTTTCTGCAATTTCAACTCTGATATATTGAATTTTTCCTCACTCACATTTTTAAGATTTCTCAATAGGTAGGCTTTCAATAATTTATACCATATACTTACAAGGATTGAGATTCTTCAATAAACAACTCTCCAAATTCCCTCTATCTTCTATTGACAAATGAATTATAGGTATTCTATCAAACCTTTCTACTTTGATGAGTTACCGAAATTTAGAAACTCATCAAAATTGATAAATTCTAGCAATTTTATTAATTCTTATAATTTTGTTTATTTAAAGATATTTACAAAAGTGGGATAATTTTATTAAAGTAAAGAATTTTCTATGAGACTTTAAGCTGCTTCCAAAATTTTGGTTAGTTTAGAGTAGCAGCTGGTAAGCCAGAAGTTTCTTCTTCAAATTATCAAGTTAGGAAATTTTAGTTTTCAATTCAAGTTTATTTTATTAATCTTAAACAAATTCTTTCTACCTTAAAAGTTCTTCCCTTTCAGCTGTTTCATCATTATGATTTAATGATTGATCTTTTTATTATTCATTCATCCTATCCTTAAAATTTTAAATTAATAATTATAATAGTTATTCAAATATTTAAATTATTATAAATTATTGAATTGAATGATTTGTTTCTATTTAAATTCTTTATAATTTTAATAATTTTTTGAATGTTTTGTAAATATTCTTTGAAGTTCTGAATGATTTAATTTATTTGCAAATAATAAATTTTTTATTATATTTTCTCAGTAAACTCAGTATTGTTCTTCATAAAAGTTTGATAATTTTCAATTATTACGCCTAATTTCTCATAATTTTCTTGAATTAAAGTTAGTAATTTATTTGAGATAAAGAAATCAAAAAATTTTAAGATTATTCCAATCAAAATTCTTTTTAGGATTCAAATATACTTGCTGATTCGATTTTATCAACAAAATTTTCTAGAATTTTTATTCTCAAAAATCTAATTTTGTTAACTCTCTTGAGAAAAGATGCCTGTTTATTTCAATTGGATAGGATTATCAGTATTCAAAAGTTATTGTAATAGGGAAAAGATGCATTATTCAGCATATTCTAATCTACAACATTGAATAATGAATAATAAAATTAAATAATTGAGTTCATTGTTTATATTTAATTTAGAATAAAAACAATTTATTTTATAAGAATAATTAATTAAATTAATAAAAAAAATTTTTATGAAAAGAAACTCACTTAATTAATCAAATTCTAAAGTAAAATAAAATAAATAAATATCCAATTTAAATAATAACCAAACCTCAAAATTGTTAATTCTATAATAAAATATTATTCTAAACCCATCAAATACTATTTCTAACTCATTATTTGTATTTTTTTTTAAAATAGTATAATTTTAAGCTTATTTATTATATCATGATACCTATAATAATCTAAATAAGAATTTTTTATATTATTTTAAAATTAAAGTTGCTCTGAAGATATATTGGATATTTTAAATTTCATTTTAAAATGTTATTTGATTACAATTGAAGGAATATTAAAACACTTAAAGATAACAAAAGAATTTATTTAAATTTAAAATCAAAGTAAGTAATTTACTTATATATTAGTTCTAGAAGATATTTTTAATTTACTTTGTACAATATAAATTAATTAAGCTAAATGTTTCGACTCTTTAATTTCCAAATTTCTTGTATTATGAAATAAATAATTATAAATATTTGAAGATGAAATAATTTTAAATGATGAACTTGCTGCAATCTTAAGTAACTGTGTTATTGCATTTTATAAGATTGAATAAAAGGAGATTGTTTTAAATATTAATTTATTAGATTACATATATAGCCAATTCCTTGAAAATGATAAAGAAAGCCTTTATTAAAAATGATTATAATATTACTCAAATATTTCCACAAGATCAATTTGCATTAATAGCTACACAATTTAAATTCAAAGTACTTGATACATTAAGCTTTATAGTTCCCAAACAATAAACAGTTATTCAATCCATCTCTATAATTTAAATAAAAAATAAAAATAATAACTAAAATTATTTGTGAAAATTTATAATCTAAAAATATTACTAAAAAATAATGATTTAATTTTCAAAAATAATTAAACAATTATAAATTTAATAACCAGAGGCATATAACTTATTTTCTTATTTACTATATTTTTAGCTTGACTATTCTCAAATGAGGCTAACTCACTACTGAAGGGTTTGAATTTAATTTTTTCATGCTGATTTTAACAAATAACTATGAAGCTTTCTCACAATAAAAATTTAGAAAATATTTGTTCAAGAAAAAAAAATTTCAAAAATTTATTTTGAATAGATAAAAAATAACAAAACAATTTACTTGCATGTTAATTTTCTTTACAAATTTTATAATTCTAGTCGAAAAGTAGGAATCGAGAACTTAATAGCAATTTATTAAGTATGAGAAATGATTTTAGTTTGAAAGTGCAATTTTTAAAAAGAATAAAAACTATTGTTATCAAATTATGAGAGTACGTATTATAAATATATTGATTTATGTCAAGTAATTTTCTCACAAAAAAGGTCATACAAAGGAAGTATAGTACTTATGTGGGGCTGAAAGTAAAAAACTGGGTTCAAGTAACATCAGCTTCTATTGATCTAAACTTTTTTGGAAAATTATAATTCTTATGAAGTGAATTTTTTTTAAATTTTAGAAGCTTTTAATATCTTTTATCGCAAAATAAATCATAAAATAGTATGTAATTAATTTATGTAGGCTTTTTTAAAAATTTCTGTTCCTTTTTCAATGTTATATTAATTATTATGATTTAATAGAATTTGAATAGATTGATAATGTTATTCTTGGCGCTTAATTAAGCAGTTTGTATTGAACCTTCAAAATTGTGTGTTTGTGGTCATATTCAAAATCGTGACATTTGTTAAAAGTCGAGTATTTGTATTTGGGATGATGATCTATGTGTTTTAAAATCAGGATCGAAATATTAAATATATTAAGAGGATTACAACTAATGCAAAAATTATGGACATGAAGAATGTAGAAAACTTTAACATTATGGATTCCATTTAGGTAAATGCATCGATTTTTAAGGTTGCTTAATTTACAATAAAGAAAATTGTTAAAGTGCTTCATTCTAATGTGTATCTGATGGTAGAAAATGCATTGAAATAAGAGATTGTATTAATTATTAAAATCAGATTGAGTGTGATAATAAGAGTAAAAAAGGAACTTTTTGTGTATGGAAAAAATTGGAAGAATTGAAATGTTAGGAGGTTTAAAAATGTGAAGATCTGCCAATATATTTAAAAGATCATGAAGGATGCAATGAAAGTTTGAAAGGATGTACAGTGAATAGCACAAGTTAGGGTTGTATTTAACAGATGGAATCATGTACAGATTACAAGTTGGAAAGTTAATGTTACTCAACTCTAAATAATAAATAGACATGTTTTTGGTTATATGGAAAAAGGAAGTGTTTGGAGAAAAAATGTGATAATTTTTTTTATAAAACTGATTATGAATGTAGATCATACTTAAGTGAATGTACAACCAATGGAATCCATTGTGTGATAAGGAAATCTTGTATAGAGGCAAAAAGTGAAGCAGGATGCATAATGGATAATTAAGGAAATAAATGCTAGTATTACGAAGGAGAATGTTAAAAAAAAACATGTGAAACTGCTTTCAAAATTATCAATAATTACCGTTAATGCTAAGATTATGATAAAACTTTGGATTGTGTTACATCTCAAAATGGAGGATGTAAGAATAGACCTTCTAATTGTTCGGAATATGTTGGGGAAGAAGATTGTTATTCTATAATAGATTAAGGATGCATTTGGATTAATTAAAAGTGTGAATTAAAATAATGTTATCATGCACCGTCTGAATATACACATTCTGATTGTAAATTATTTGGAAATTGTATGGGAAAACTAGAAGGTGGTTGTATTACCACCCCGTATTTATGTGAAGAGATCTACTAATAGATTGGTTGTGATAAAAATTCATAAGGATAATAATGCATTTGGTTAAATAATTAGTGTATTTTATTGGAGTGTAATTAATTAAAATTACCATATTATTCTAGTAGTTAAGCTTGCTAACTTGTAAGTGCAAATTGTATAATAAATATTTAATAATTTGGATGTGTAGATTATACTTGCGATAATGTAGATGAAGAAAAGGATTGTACAATTGATTCAAGAGGAAATCATTGTTTATTATCACATGGGTGTGTCTAAAAATAGTGTAATACTGCTCCATCTACCTTTTAATCTATATAAGAATGTGAAGATTGGCTGCCAGAATGCACAATTAATGTTTTCTCTTAAACTAATATTTTAGTTTTAAAAGGTTGTATTAAAAAGTTTTAATTATGTCAATTATATTAAAAGGAATAGTGTTTTTCAACTATATAAGGTTATATTTGTAGATGGAATACCACTTAAAATAAATGTGAAAATGAAGAGTGTTCTGGTGCTAATCCAACAAATTATACAACAAACGATGATTGTATTAATTTTAAAATAGATTCATAAAAATGTATAATTGGAGATAGTGGATCAGGGTGTATGAAATGGCCCACTAATTGTATTGATCTGAAAACCGAACAGTAATGTAATTTAAATCTAGAAAATGGAGAGGAATGCTTTTGGTCAGGGACAGTGTGTAAAATAAAAGAATGTTCGGATGCTTCATAATATTTATATAAAAATAATATTGAATGTTAAAAGTGGATGAATAGTTGCATTTACAATCCTATGCAAGCAAAATGCGAAAAACGATTAGAATAGAAGGGCTGCCACTTATCAAACTCTAATATATTTAATAATCATTAAGAATGTTTTGCTTGGAATCCTAAATGCACTGTAGTAGGTAATTTCAATTCTGAGGGATGTGAAAAGAAAAAGGATTATTGTGTAGAATATCATGATGAACAAGTTTGTAAATCAACTATCTCAGGATAATCCTGTTAATGGGATAACGTTTATCAATAATGTAAAGAGGCTGACTCATCTTTTTCTTGTTAGATTAGTGGAATTAGCAATTTAACACATCAAGAATGTGAATCTTTTAATTATAAATGCACAATAGCTAATATCACTAAAAGTTGTGTTAATTTATCATAATATTGTTATTATTATAAAAGTAAACTTGAATGTAATATTGATTCTTATTAATAACCTTGTATTTGGGATGATAGTAACAAGAAATGTAAAAATTTAGAATGTGTTGATAATAAGACTGCAACTACTGAAAGTGAGTGTTTAAATTGGAGAAGAAATTAGGAATGCATATTGACTAAAAATGTAGACGGAACTGTTGGAAAAGGTTGTTAGAATACTGCATCTTCATGTGATGGGGTTACTAATCATATTATATGCAATGTTACTATAACTAAAAATAGAAAGAGATGTCTTTACATTAATAAAATATGTAAGGAGGTATAATGTAATACTTGTGAATATATTACTTTAAGTAAAAGTAATGAAGAGTGTTAATCTTATAATACTGACTGTATTTTAAAACAAAGTGGATAAGGTTGTTACTGCCCATTATATTGCTCTAACCTAAGTTCTTCTTCTTGTGGTAGTGTTAAAATGTCATTTAATAAGGTGTGTAAATTTGATAGAACATGCAAAGAAAAAAGTACATCCTCCCTTAATTGTACTTCACGATGGTTATCAACAACATTATTAACAGATTAGATTTGTTATGATTGCCTTTATTCCTATATTTTATAAAATAATAACAATAAATGTGTTTTTTATAATGAAGGAGAAATTAAATTGAATTACTAATGTGCTCAATATGATAATTACTAATGGTCATCAGGAAAATGCAAAAAAATTAATAATATAAATTGCCTTGAAAATACAATAGCTGTTACAGATTTGGAATGTTTACTAATTTCTCCAATTTGTGGTTTGAATTATATTTAAGGATAAGGTTGTGCCTTTATCAAATGTAATATTGGCTATAATCTTACATAAAGTTAATGTAATTTTCGTTACACCATAGATGGTTTAGGTTGTAAGTACAGTTCTTCTAATTGTAATTAAAAATTATGTATTGATTATTTAGACTAGAGTAGTTGTTAAATTAGATATGAATATTAATACTCTAAATCATTAAAATGTTATTGGTGCAATACTAGTTGCTCTAATAATAATACTTGTGATACAAATATTAAAGTCCTCCATAAGATCATTCAGATTGCAACAAGATGAACCATCTTTAAACTATCAAAATGAGTGATATCGTGTGTGACTTGAAGAAAACATCTTGTAATGAATATTTATATGAGGCTGGATGTTAGGTTACAATTGATGGGGTCAAATGTATTTGGTAGAATAATTTATGTTAACTTTTAAATTCTGCTTAGGTGTTGAACGAAGTGGATTGTTCTATTTTTAATCAGAATTGTTTTTGGGGTGAAAGTGGAATAGGATGCATAGAAATAAAAAACTGCTCTGAATTACAAAACTTAACTTTATGCACAATGAATTAATCTTAAACTCATTGTTTTTGGGATACTAGTATTAATAATAATTAATGTACTGAAAAGATGTGTTCGAACTTTTAAGGAATACCCATCTCAGAAAATGATTGTGATAATTGGTTAAAAAATTGTAAATTTGATAGTTCTACTTAAACTTGCGTTGAATAATGCGAATCTGCTGATAATTCCTACAGATCTCATCAATAATGTGAATCCTATTATCCAAGCAAAAGATGCACTCTAAAAATAGTTTCAATTAAATGTGTTGATTTGCCATCATCTTGTTCTCTAGCCAAAGAGAGTCAATGTTTCCAAGATTCAAATGGAAATGAATGCTACTATTCTAAATCTAAAAATAGATGTGTTGATTTAATTTGTTCATCTTTAGAAATGAATACACATTTTGATTGTAATCAGAGACTTAAGAATTGTACAGTGAATAAAGATCATAATGGATGTTAGATGCTTGATGATTGTTTTAATTATGTAGCTCAAGATTAATGCTATATAAACAATTAATTCTAAGAATGTTAATGGATTTCTAATAAAAATTTATGTACTTTAAAATAATGTTTAACTGCTGAATTGAATGATTATACAGTTTAATATTGTTAATAATATTTTGGTAAATAATGTACAGTAAATTAAAATTTTGATGGATGCATTCAAGTATCAAATAATTGTAATGAATATTCATAACTTTAATGTATGAGTGGAGAAATGTTAAACATAAGTGAAATATCTTGTTTTTGGGATGAAATCAAAATAAAATGTGTCGAATAAACTTGTGAAAAAAGGTAGATGTAAACAAAAAAGTTGTTTTGATTACTAATATTCAGATGATAATGAGTGTTCATTACTTTTTGATGATAAAAGATGTGCATCAAATGGTAAATCTTGTGTTCTTAGATAGTAATGTGAAGATGCTTTGAGTAAACATCAATGTACTTTTGATAAAAACTTAAAGACTTGCGATTGGTTAGATGATATGTGTGTTTAAAAGAAAAGTTGTAACAATATAGTTTTAAAAGAATTGTGTAATGTTGATGTTGATGATTAAAATTGTATTTGGGATGATGTTCTTAATTAATGCTTTTCAGAATTATGTATAGGATTTTGTGGAGATGGAATCATTTAAATTAATGATGAACAATGTGATGATGGTAACTAATTACCTTATGATGGATGTTATGAATGTTAATTCTAATGTTCATATGGTTGTCTTGAATGTGATGAAGGATAAGGTTGTAAAAAGTGTAATGAATAATTTACCATAATTAATGAAACAGCTACATGTTAAGAGAATAAAGTCTTAATTGATGATTAGGAAGATATAAATAAAGATATTGTTGTTGATATTATCGCTCACAGATGCAATGATAATGAAATATTAATAGACTTTCAATGTGTATCTTAATGTGGGAATGATATCCTTAACTCTAAATATGAATAATGTGATGATGGTAATTAATTTGGAGGAGATGGATGTTCATCTGGTTGTAGTGAAGAAGATTTCTATTAGTGTCAAAATTATGAAAATGCATCCAGCATTTGTTCTTATATTTTACCTCCTGATTTAATTTTAGTTAGTCTCTCAAGTAAAACTAACCAAACTTAAAAAGTTTAATTAAGTTTCACTTAAAACGTGAAATTACTGTCTGATTTAAAATTTGAAGAAATTGCAGTAATCTCAATTATTCCATAAGCACTTGCACCTATAAATGTAAAACCAATATTAAATCTATCAACTACATATAATAATCCATTATATGAGATTACAGTTAATTTCATGGAGCCTGTAAAAAATTCTGTACTATAGATAGAATTTGCTTAATCAATTATTAAAAATGAATTTGATTTAGACTTGATTCGAAATCAGATCTAAATCAGTCTTGGCACTCCTTTTGTATTATCTGAAACTACTAAATAAAAGGTGACTTAAATTATGCTTCTAAATGATATTATGATTTATTCTATGGCTGCTATATCAGGACTAGCACTGCTGACAGGAAATGCTATAATGTTTTTTAATTTATTAGATCTATTATAATAATTGTCCTATATCAAATTTATGTAGTATTCATTTCCACCTCATTTAATCTAATTTCTCAATACTTATACTAAGGTATCATTAAAACCAATAATGGATCGATTTAAAATAGAAGAGTTACTTATATCATTAAATGGTGGAAGTTTACCATTTTAAAGTACTGGAAAATCAACAGATATTAAAACAAATCCATTAAATTAGTTTTATTTATTCAATGTTTAAGGATGTTACTTCTCTATTTTATGTTCATTACTAACATATTTTATTTCCAAATTATTGTCCTCTAATAAAGCTTTATCCTTTTAAAAATGCTTATTTAAAAAATTCTAAAATAAATTGACTTACCTTCGTTGTGATTAATTTTTCTCCAAAAAAGTCTAAAAATTTTGCAAGAAATTTAAAAATGAATATTTCTCTTTTGGAATATTTAAGGTTTATTTGACAATTCTTCATTAATTTTTGTTCAGTGTATTGTTATAATATCCTGATTACAGCTTTGATTCTCCACTTATGATATTAAATAGTGTGAATGCAATTATTGGATTAATGTTAATTTCATATATCAGTTTACAATTGCTATCTATAACATCATCTAACATAAAGGATAAATAAAAATGGAAATACTTTTATCAAGATTCAGTACCTCAATTTTGGGCTGTTAATTACAAATCATTTTAAATATATAAAATTATGATATATATATTTGTAATTGTTAAAGCAATTAACTATCCAGAAGTATAATCAATAATACTATCAATGTCATCGATTTTCTATTTAGGTTATTTATTAAAATTCAAACCAATATAATCCAAATATGAATATATCAAACTAATATTTAGAGAAATTTTATTTGCTCTTACAACAGGGTCGTTTTTAATTTATAGTTTTGATATCCAATAGAATTATCAATTATTACTAGGATGGATTCATATCTGTTTTTTTTCTTTAATGTTGGTCTCAAACTTAAGTATCGATTTAGTTGATAGTATCAAAACTACATGGATGAATTAAAAAAGGAAAATAAAATTATAAAGATTGAAAGATGAAAAAAAATTTTATGTGAATAAACTTTAAAAATTAATACAATTGTGAAATTAACAATTAAAGCTGAAAAAAATCAGTGGAATCATCTTAATGATTTGATTTAATTATAAATAAGTAAAGTATTTCATCAAAATATTAATTCTACAATAAAATCTACAATTATCAATTATATTATATGATTTAAATAATTTTATTATTATATCGTACAAGTCTTATTAACTTCAATTATGATTTGTAGGTTAGGAATTATATCTATGTACAAAATAGTTAGATTAAAAAAAATAACGGTTAGAATTGGATCGATTATTAAAGTAAATTTTAATGTAGTAAAATATACTCAATATCTAAAATATTTAAAATAAACATTTCAATCAAACAAATATTTATGAATTCAAATAAACTTAAAAAAATATATGATGTTAAATTTAACTTTAATATTATAATTATATATATGTCTTTACTAAGTAATGTAATCTGGTTTAAACATATTTCTTTCATTTTTATTTTTAGAATTATTCTTTTAAAGATTTTTCATTTTAAGATTTTATATTATGTGCCTTCAATAGGGAAATTGATATAGAAGTTTTAATTAAATAATCGATTGAATTTATTTTTTAAATTAAGATATTTATCATGCTGCAATTTTATTTGTTGATCTTTAGTAAATTATTCAAAGTTCGCTGGAAAAAATTTGATGATAAAAAGTATACATACTTAGGGTAGTATTCAAACTTTTTATACTGCAATTTATATTATAATTTAAATTTAATGGATGTTTTTTTGCATCTTTAGGTTTTGATCATTTTATTATTCATTCTCACTTAATCTGGAGTCATATTCATAATATTAGCTATAACTGAATATTTTGAATCCATCATCTGAAAGCCTCTTTATCTCTTATCTTTATTTTTAAGTTAAATTCGCAGACTAGATATGAATTATATATTCATTTCTTTCTGTTTATATTTATTTATCATTTTATTTCGTTCTGAAATAGTCTCTGATTGATTTTTATTTCATGTTGGTTAAAATTAATTAAAAAAAGATTTCAAAATATTTCGTTAAAATTTAACAGAGCATTTGCTTGATTTAAAAATTTAGAATCTTTTTTCGGAAAATCAGATTTATTCAAAAAAAACCAAACAAGGTTTATTGGATTAATTTAATAACAGCAAGTAATAGATTAAATTTCAGTTGAAGATGTCCCTATCAAATTCTAGGTTGATGCCAATGAGCTGATCCCCTCCATTGAATCAGCATATATTGGACTTTAAATTTAAGGTAAGTATTTGCCGAAAATTACTTTATCCAGTTTTTTGTTTTTATCTTTTTTTTTTTAAAATAAATTCCCATATTCTTTAATTAACGTCCCCATTTTATTTGATAAATAGTTCATTTCATCATTTTTTTTTGGAGTATGTTTGTTTAATTATTTTCCAGAGTTTACCCATTCGTAGATTTCTTCTAACTTTTTTTTTTTTATCCATTCATTTCCTTAGTGATTTCAATATTCCATAAGTTCTATTAAATGTTCTTTATTAAAAAATATTTTATTGTGTTCCCGACAGAAGAGTTTTGAAAATTTCCATTTGTCAAAATATCCTCTATTAGGTTTTTTCTTATCTTATTTGCTACCATTTTTTATATAGATTTATTCCTTTTTTTTTTGTTTTTCTCTATAATTATTCATTTTTTCTTCAAGTTATATTTATTGTTTTTCTTCTCATTTTATTAATTATTCTAATTAATATTCTGATGGAGTTTAATTCCATCCATGAGTATATATTATTTCTGAAGTTTAAAATTTTTCTAATTCTTCTAAGTCTTTATATCCAAATTATTAATACCTGTTTTCCATTTTGAATGACTTATTTTAAGGCCTTTCCGCATGATTCATATTAACGTAATATTCCATTATTTTGTTAAGTAATCATTTTAATTTCCTTAAAATGGTAATTACACAAACAATTCTTCCATAATGTTGACATTGAAATTTCTGTGAACATTGCACTTAATTTTTAATGATTTCCTCCTTAAAAGATCATATTTTTTAATAATAGATTTCCTTTACATCTATAAGATAGGTGATATATAATCAAAGTAAGGTTTAACAAAAATACTCCACAACTTCATTATGTCTGAATGGTAATAATCTATCCAATATTCTTAGTCTCCAACATTTTTAATATTAATCCACTTATTTTCATATAATGTTTAATTACTGAACCTCTATTATTTATCCATATACCTAAATATTTATATGTATCAACTTTCTTACATCCTATTTATTCCATTTCATTATCTTTTAATTAGCCATATGCACATTTTATAATATTCATTTTCATATTGAATTCTTTTAATGTTTATTATAGTGTTTCAATTAGGTATTTAGATATTCCTCCTTTAGTTAATATAACTATGTCATTTGCATAAGTTAAAGTTCATGTTTGTTATAAATATTTTTGGATTCTTTTTTATTTTGTCTATTTAATTTTAATGCTATTATTAATTTGTAGAATCGCGTGAATATCCAAAAAGTAAATTCAATTCTTAGAAGTTTAGAATCTAGATATTTAGGAAGTGGTCAATGAATATTTTTTAGAGAAATCAAATATTTTAATAAATTTAGATCATCTCTGATAGGCTTGGATAAATTTCATAAACTTATTATAATGGTATTTATAATATAAAAGGTAATAAAGTTAATAGTTGAGAAATAATGTATAAGGGGTATTATGAGAATAAAGAAAAATTATTTAAATTTTAAAAGTATCTTAGGAGGTTAATATGTTGAATAAAATGGAGTTTCAAGAAAGGTAGGTAGATGAATAGAAGAATTGAAGGATTTGTTGATTTCAAGCGGAAGGAAAAAAGATTGGAAAATAGATTTATTTGTCAGAGGGATTTCAATATTTTTCATAAATTATTTAACAAGGTAAATAAACAAAAATAGTGTATAAGTTGGAAGATGGGAAATAATGTTTTTTTAATATTATGAGAAAGATTATCACTAAATTTATTAATTATAATTATTTGATAGGTGGTGGATCATATGATGATTAAAATTGAAGGTTATGAAGTGGAAAGGTAAAAAGGTTGATAGTTGGGTCTCATGGAATTTTAAGAAAAAGAAAAAAAAATCAAATATTATTTATTATTTCACTAAAAAGTAAAGAAGCTAATTGTTGTATATTTTGTATTGACTAATGGAGTTTGCTATTTTTTAGTTTTGAATTATTGTTGTTGATAAATTTTATAAACATAAGATTTCATCCCTTATAATCTTCTTATCTGATTAGAAATCAATAACTAAGAAAATCTTGAAAATAAATTTGGTTTAAAGTTCCTCTACCAAAATATCATATTTCTTTATTTCAATTATTTTCAGATGGTCTTGAAAAATAATTTTAACTTCAAAAGTTCTTTTTCCTTCTTTTTTTATCTAATATAAAGATACAGTGTTTATTGTTTTGGATCTTAGTATTAGTTTTTATACATGTTTAATGAGGTTTTAGTTTTATTAAATTTTAAAAATCATATAGTTAATCATGAGTAACTGTAAGAATCTGATTACTTGTTTACAATATTAAGTAAAATCGTGGGATTTCTATCGCATCATTAGCAATGGCTCAACTGTATTACTATTTTTATTTTAGGCACATTCTGAGCTCCAAAGAAAAAGGTACCGTCTTGTAGATTGATGAGAATAAATTCTCATATCTCATTATGTAGGGAATTTTAATGCTATAGAAAATTTACATGTAGAGTTTTCATTAAAATGTGGCTGAATAAATGAACTTTTTTTGGTAATTGATAATCATATCAAGCGAAAAATGATCATTTATTTTTATTTTATTTTTAATGTAAATATAATCTTAGTGTAATAAGTTTGTTTTCTCTTTCAGCTTTTTGAATAGAAACTCTTCTTTTTAAGATAAACAAATTAGTCATATTTTAAGAGCGATTTATTAAGTTTTATAAATAATTATAAATTTATAAGAAATAATAAATATTTATAATTGAAATGAATTTTTAATTGCTTTTTACAAATATTATTTGATAGTGAAATAAAAATTTAATATTGAAACTCTATAGGATAAAAACTGGAACTTAGACATGGACAGAAAGATCTATAGCTTATCATAAATTAAACTTCTTATTATAATAATAAAAAGATATGTTTAATTGTTGGTTAATCAAAAGAAGGAGAGATTATTATAACTTTCTTTGCTCTAAAACAACTTGCCAATTTTTTTAAATTAGTTTATTTTCTAAAACCAAAATTAATAAAAAATATTAGTATAAATCTCTTTTTGAATTTCGATTATATTCAAGAAGTGCATTTTACCTAAATAATTTAAATATATAGAAATAAAAGAGAGATTTATTTGCTTATGTTTAAGACCTTCAGATTTAAACGATTTAAACTGAGTTTAATGATAAATTATTAACACTATTTTTCTGAATAGCTCTTTTATTGATTGACAAAATTGGTGTAATTCTTAATACTATTGATTTCTTTTTAAATTAAATTAGATTCCTTAATTTTTTTTCAAACTTAAAATAGAATCAGATTATTTATGATAATCCTATTTTTTGTTAAATTTGATTTGATATCGAATCGGGCAGAATGCTTAATCAAAGAATTATTTTATTGAATTGAATAATTAATGTTTAAATTATCTAATAATCATTAATAAAATTCAAACATTTCTTCGATATTGTTTATTCCGTATTTTTCAATAATTTTTTATTTTTCTATAATTTATAGTAATTAATGTCTGGCATCAGCTGGAAACAATATTTAAAATTTAACTGTCTAATCTTCAATTCTAAGAATAATAATATATATTAATACGATAAGTCATCATAAAGCAGAATGTAAGAATGATCAACAGCTGGATCAATCCAAAAGGAACTTACAATAACTTCACTAACAATATCTGGTTTTTTAATGTTTTAGTAATTTATTATAGATATCTTTGCATCATTTCCAACTTGTCTAATTTAAATCACATGAGTTGAATCGAGATCAAATTAATAAATATCCATGAAAACTGCAGGTTCATCAGCAACATACTCGTCTCTAGCCTAATGATGTTTACAATTAATTCATTACTAAAGTTACTGTAAAATCAGATTCAGGTAACCAATTACATCCATCATAATAACTTCTTAAATCAAAAGTAAATATACTAGGTCTGGTTGTTCCATCATTACAATTTACCCAAATAGCCACTTCATTAGTGTTAATCCAATTAGATACATTCAAAATTGTATAGGAACATTAAAACTCAGTATGAACAATATAGAAAGCTTTCTCCAATAAATGAGGTTTTATTAATAAAATTTCAGATTTATTTTATTCATTATCTTAACCATAAACAGCCAGAGTTTCTTTATTTATTTACCACCAAAATAATTCTGTCTAGCCTATGATGTTAGGATAATCATATTTTGCTATTATTTATAAGTTAAACTATGTTTCAGGAGTATAATTAAGTGGCAACATTCTTATAGCATAATGACAAATGTTGTTATTTGAATAGTATTTTTCTAAATCTTGTGAAATCAAGTATTTGATTTATTTTTCTTCACAATCAAGAAAGAATACACGATATTCTAACATGTTATTCATATAAATATTTACTATCAACAATTATCTCTTTACTTGTTTCATCACTTTTAGTATTCACATTCTCACTAGATCTAAATACAAAATTTGGATTAATTTTATTTGTATTTAAATCTAACAATTTGATTTAGAGATCTGATGGATCATGAAATATCAATACTCTAACCTTATTTAAATAAAAAACTTTGGATATATTTCTAAGAAAAATCGAATTTTTTCAGGAAGCTTTCCTTATTCAGTAATTTATTGTTTATCAATATCGTACAATTCATAGCACCCTCCTTAATAATAAATAAATGTTAAATTATTTTTTAAGGGCACAATTCTGTCAAACCATTCGGATTACACTGTTGTCTTGACTTAGATATCTGATAATAGCAATAATCTAAGCTTTTTTTCTGCCTTAAAATCTTGTTAGAGCATTCAAAAAAATTTTTAAAATAATTTATTTCAGGATTGTTAAAAAATCCTGAAATTTAAAACAATATAGTAAATACATTTTTTCACTTATTAGAAAAGTATTTCAATTTTAGTATTAAAATCTTTTTTCTCAATAATACAAAAATAAACTAAAAATAGTATTAAATAAAAATAATACGAGAAAAGAAGAAAATAATTTTGCAATATATTTTGTTAATGCAGATAGTAAAAATAATTTATAAAGAAATTTATGACTTAATAGAGGTATCAAGATGAAAAAAGTTAAATATTCATAATTAACCTGACCATCCTGAATAAAATGTTCTTTATTATGATATCATTCCTAAACAACGCTAAAACGATTATAAAATGTAATAAAAGCTCTTTAGAAACTATTTATTGTTACAGATCTTTTACAATTCTAAGTTTATTTTCTTTCAATTAGCTTTAAATATAAATTTTAAATCTAAATTTACTTTGTAATTATTACTAAAAAAGATGATTATTCATGACTTTAAATATGGATTATAACTCTCATAGCAAATTTAATATTTTTTGGATATTGTTTTTTAGCTCTCCTCTAAGCAAACTAATTGTTAGATTGATTAAAAAAATAGAATCATTCATTAAATTTTATATATTTTATAGATTATATTCTTCTATGAATTAGAATTATCAAAAATCTCATTATTATTTCA